TGCCTATTTCGGTGTTATCATAAATTAGTAACCAAGTGAATTGTAAATAAAATGTGTTTTTTTTTTAAATGAAATGAAACTACAGTGTCCTAGTCTTCTTTTCCCTGTGTACATGTCAACCTACCTGGCTCACACTGAATTGGTAAAAAGTTTTGGGTAATGGGAGTACAAATATGCAAATTAGTAATGGGCCCTGCAACATTGTTGCAACAAAGTATCTATGGTGTGCAAAGGGTTAAGAGCCAAAGTCAACTTTTGGCACCATTCACAAAATAGTTCTATATATCATTTGTGCATATTAATTAGATAATTTGCATATCATTAACCCTTTGACCACCTAAGTCAACTTTTATCACCATTCACAAAATAGTTCTATATATCATCTGTGCATATTAATTAGGTAATTTGCATATTATTACCCTTTAAGCGCCAAAGTCAACTTTTGGCACCATTCACAAAATAGTTCTATTTATCATTTGTGCATATTAATTAGGTAATTTGCATATCATTAACCCTTTGACCACCTAAGTCAACTTTTATCACCATTCACATTATAGTTCTATATATCATCTGTGCATATTAATTAGGTAATTTGCATATTATTACCCTTTAAGCGCCAAAGTCAACTTTTGGCACCATTCACAAAATAGTTCTATATATCATTTGTGCATATTAATTAGGTAATTTGAATACATTAACCCTTTGAGTACCAAAGTCAACTTCTGGCACAAAAATTACCGATTGTTTTTTTAGAATCATTTCAAAATTTTGATCAAGACCTGTTGCCATGGGCAAAAAAAGGATATCCACTTGTTATTTTTAATTTTAAAAAATACCTGAATATAGGCGCTCAAAGGGTTAAAAAGGACAATGTATAGGCAATGATTGCATTCTTGTTTATGTTGTTGTTTAGATCATAACTAAAGTTATGGAGATGTATCAGCCGAGTGCTATGGTTTTACAGTGTGGTGCTGATTCACTATCCGGAGATAGGTTAGGTTGTTTTAACCTCACTCTTCGAGGTAAGTATATTTATTGTGCTTTCAAGATGAAGTGATCCATATGTGATTCAACCAAGAGGTTTTTTTTGACCTTTGTAAAATACATGAATCTGATTGCAAGTGACTCTGACATGTGCACCCCCAATCAGCACGCATTTGCTGAATAGAATCTGATATCGGTATAGAGTTGTGTCGATGACCAAATAAACAGACAGTGGCTGGTGAGGATGGTTTTGTAAATGTATGATAATTGCATACGTATTTCAATTATTCTCTATTGAAAATCAATATTTTGAAAAAATAAATAACAATTTCTCTTTCCTAGTTTGTCATGTGGTCAAAAACAAAATATAGAATTTTTCTAGAGGGTAACTCGTGGCTTCTATTTGCGATTGTTCTAATCAAAGGTGCTCTACACATCATGTACATGTAAGTAGTCCACTTTCTTTCTTACAGGTCACGCAAAATGTGTAGATTTTGTGAGAAAGTTCAATATGCCGTTATTGATTCTGGGAGGTGGTGGATACACAATTAGAAATGTGGCTCGCTGTTGGACGTACGAAACTGCTGTGGCATTGGGTGTTGATATCGCCAATGGTAAGTCCTCTCATGTCTGCTAACTGCAGTTATGGTAGAAAGTTGGTCATACAGCCCTGTCACGTTGTCGCAAACATGGAATATGGTTTCTGTCAGAAAATGCACTGTATTTACTGTCGTGGGAACAGTGACATTCATTGTCTGAAACTGTCGCCTGGCATAGTTATGAGGTGTGTGCACTACAGCCATCAATGTCAGGCTCCCTTTAATTTCCCAGGTTGAATCCTTGGGCTTTTCTGAATTGTGCTATTTTTGTGATGGTAGCATAGCTATCATTGCATCTGTTACCTGCCTGTCCTACTTTCTTGTCCAATTTGCCTCCTTCTTTGCTCAAAGATACAATACTACACTTTCCATCAAGCCAGATAGAAACCTTTTTCAGTGAAACGGTTTTTACCTGTTATCACTTTTTAGCTCCGCTGTCGACTTTGTCGAGCGGAGCTTATCATATGAGTGATTGTCCGTCGTCGTCGTCCGTGTCAATGTTTTACTTTTTCGACTTCTTCTTGAAAACTACAAGCCTAAATGCTTTGATACTTGGTATATATGTACCTTGGGTAATTTTGGTGAATATTTTTGTCATTTTTGGTAAAAACTGATATTTTCGACTTCTTGTTAAAAACCGCAAGTGCAATTGCTTTGATATTACATCTATAGGTACTACATGTGGACCTCTCTCAGATTTGTTAATTTTGTAATGATATCTTTAATTCTTTAATTTTGGTGAATATTTTTGTAATTTTTGGTAAAAACTGATATTTTCGACTTCTTGTTAAAAACCGCAAGTCCAATTGCTTTGATATTACATATATAGGTACTACATGTGGACCTCTCTCAGATTTGTTCATTTTGTGATGATATCTTCAATTCTCTAATTTTGATGAATATTTTTGTCATTTT